ACCCTTTGTACACAAGTGCAAATTCTGTATATAATAGTCACACAGTGGTATTTCCCATCAACAATAAATTTTGTACGCGAATCAACAACTCTTCACCCAGTTTAAACCTCATCTCATCGTTTTGCACCAACGATGCCACCAACCACCACCGCCAGTGACAACCGACCCCCATTCACACTCCCGAACTTTTTCAAAGACATCCACAACGGAATCATTGGCTTGATTATCAACCCGCAAGCAACGAGAGTCACGTACCCACTAATCATCTGCATCGCTTCAATCGTCACCAAAATCATAATCAACAAAGTCCCATACACTGAAATTGACTACACCACATACTTGCAACAGATTGATAAAGTGAATGCTGGTGAATTGGACTATGCCAACATTTACGGAGATTCCGGGCCCATAGTGTACCCAGCTGGTTTCATTACAGTGTATCAATACATTCAATGGCTCTGTGGCGACAATGTGAAGGAAGCACAGTATATATTTGGGTACTGTTTTACAGCAACGTTGGCATTGGCGTGTTTTGTTTATGCGCAGATTTGGGATTTACAACCGTGGCCGATATATTTGTTTTTGGCAAGTAAGCGATTATTGTCGATTTATGTGTTGAGGTTGTTTAATGATTGTTGGACTACGATTTGTATGGTTGGGGTTGTTTTGTTGTTGCAGCAAGCTGCTGTTTTCAAAGAGGCTTATAAGGGGAAAAAAGTGGATTTTGTCGATGAAGATGAGAAAGGGAGGGTCAAGGCAGAGGGGAAGAAGGGCAAACGCGACGTAAGCAAGGATGAGAAAGTTGCAGTGCGTGAAGTGATTACGGGGTCATCTTGGTTCGACATTAGCTTCTTGTTGACAATAATTGCAGCTGACTTGTACAGCATTGCTATTTCAATCAAGATGAATGCATTATTATATGCGCCAGCGTTCCTTCTCATAATATACTTCCTCAACGATGAAAACTTGTTGAAGTTTATCATTTTTGTGGCCGTAGTCCCATTGGCTCAGGTGATGATTGGTTGGAGGTTTTTATTACTCATGTTTGATGATGACTTGGCCAAGACAATCAGATGGAATTACATCTCCAATGCATTCAACTTTGGTCGTCGGTTCTTGTATAAATGGACGGTCAATTGGAAATTTGTACCCGAGTCGATATTCACTTCAATCCAATTCGGACGTGCCTTACTAGTGCTCCATTTAACCTTACTTTTATTTTTCACATTTACAAGGTTTCTCAATCACAAAATCATTGGCAAATCCATACCACAATTGATTAAAGATTCAATCAACCCTAGCCCCACCATCTCACCAAGCAACATTTTCTTGAACCCATTAGTTGCCCCACAGATCATTTTTTACATAATGACAATCACAAATCTCATTGGGGTGTTGTGTTCACGATCACTTCACTATCAATTTCTCGCATGGTACGCTTGGACATTACCCGGTTTGCTCCATTTGAACTTCCCTGTGTATGTTGGCGTGCCGCTTTGGCTTGTTCATGAATGGTGTTGGAATGTGTTTCCAGCAACCGCTTCAAGCTCGGCTGTTTTGGTGCTGTTGTTAACAATTATTTTGGTTTTCAACTGGTATAATTTCGAAGCATGGTTTCCGAAACAGAGTACATTGAAGGAATATGATGAGTTTGTCATGCTACAGAAGCAGGAAGAGAAGCAGTTGTCTAACAAGAAAACTGAATAGTACAAACGTTGTATTGTGTAGTATTACAAAGTGTAAAGTAATTATATAATGAGCTGTAAATCCATACTGTAAACGTTGGACAGATGTCGAAGTGAAGTTGAATGTTAAAAATGGGGAACAGAAAGTACAATTGATAATCGGAGACACAAAATCCAAATAGTTGCTGCAAAATGACCAAAGCTGCTCAGCCATCATAATAAATGTCTTGATAGTTCGTATTTTCGGTACTGAAATCAACAAAAATATATTGCAAATCGATTTCCCTACCAACACCCATCGGTGTCTCATCCTCTTCGCTCTCTCCCACATCCTTCCAATTTCTTTAATCTCCATTCTCTATAGCATCCACATTCCAATTAAACCCCAAGTCATCATTCAATCCCAGATCAACAACATTGTCATCTCCCCACAACTGATTGATATCGAACTCAATGTCATCAAAAGCAGCAGAATTGACACCGGCACCAGCAGTCCCTCCAAAAAAGTCTGCATTGATATTGGACCCCCCGCTACTACCAGATCCACCACCATTACCACCACCGCCACTGTTGTTGTTGTTGGTGGTGGTGATGGTGGTGGTGGAGATAACATTGTTATTGTTGTTGTTGTTGTTGTTGTTGTCGGGAATTCCTGGAACTCCACCACTAGATGTACTGTTGTGAGCTGAACTGTGGTTCTGGTTTTGAGTATCGGACAATAAATCCACATTGAAGAAATTCTGGCCCGTGTTGGAGGAAGAAGATGCACCTAGATGATCTTCTTGGAGGGAAGCATGCGCTGGTTCCGAGAACGCACCAAACGCTTCATGGAACTCGTCAAAATGGTTCCTGAGCTGTTGTTGTTGCAGCGACTCCTCATTGATGGCTTTAGTCGTGTCGGTACTGTTTGATGCAGTCTTGTTGGCAACTTTTTCATCGGATTTAAGCGTTCCTTTGGCAGCCTTCTTCCTTGTTGGACCAGTTGACTGAATTTGCGACTTGGTGTCAGAGCTCTTCTCCGTTTGCGTGTTGGTGGAGTTTTGGCTGTGAGGAGATTCGGCAACAGTATTCATCTTGCGTTTCTTCCTGCTGTCAGTAACAGGCTCACTCACTGGTGTAAGTGGAGTGAAATCTTTCCGACCCGTACTTGGAGTAAACGAACCGCGTCTTTGAAGTTGGGATGGGTTTTGCGATGTGTTAGGCGGTTCTTGCTGTTGTGACGACTGTGACTGTTGTTGTGGATGTTGTTGCAGGGATGCCGGTGGTTTACTTTCAACTCCCAAATTAAATGGAGTACTAGCCTGTGTCGAAGCAACACTTTGCTTCCTGCTTCTTCTTCCTGCAGGCTCCTTCTTTGGCTTTTTGTTGGCCGTTCCTGGAGGAGGTTTGTTGTTGATCAAGGGTGAACTATTGGACGTTGCCGGAGATGGTTTGTGATTGAACTGAGGAGGCGGTGGAGCATGGTGCAAAGCAGGTGTAGCATGCAGTGATTGGGACTGGTTTTGTGAAGAATGGCTGCTCATTGCATCATGCTGTTGGGATTGCGGTGGTTGTTGTTGTTGCAGCATCAATCCACCGGAAGCTAGTATATTTGACTCTGATCCATTACTTCTCGCAATTTCCAAACGCTTCTTATTTTGCTTCTCTAAAAGCATGAGCTGATTTTGGTAATCCTGCAATGCATTACTGTTTCTTCCGTTGGGTGGATTATTCTGTGGGGCCTTGTTATTAACATTAGCAAGAGCCAGTTTCCCATTGGGGCCAGTATTTCTGCCCCTTGCACCTCCGGGACCGCGCACAGGTTGCCCATTAGCATTGTCAGGACCTTGTGCTGGAGCATTCACGAAGTTAGGATTGCCAACACTGCCTGCTGGACCCGTGCCACTGGGGAATGGTGAGCCCTGACCACGTGAAGCACGTCTTTGTAATTGTGGCTGCTGTTGCTGCCATGGACCTGCAGGAGAGTTTTGCACAGAGGACCCGTTAACATTGGCTGGATTCGCCTGAAGTTGCTGCTGCTGTGCTTGCTGACGCAAAGTGTTCATTTGACTTTGTGCTTGCTGTTGCAACGAATTCATTTGCTCCTGGGTCTGCGGTTGCTGGTTCATTTGTTGTTGCATAAACGCCTCCTGTTGAAAGTTCATGCTTCCAGGACTGGCTGCGGCATTAGCGCCCCTTTGCAAGGCGTGCTGCTGCTGCTGCTGCTGCTGCTGCTGCTGCTGGTCAGGTCCGAGATCTCCCATGCTCATATTAATCTGTCTTTGCGCAGCAGCTGCAGCAGAAGCAGTCTGCTGTTTCATTAGCATCATCATTCTTTGCTGTTCTACAGACGGACTGCCACCGAATTGAGGATTAGGCATATTTGGAAACGGGGCTTGGCGCTGAGTTGCGGGAGGATGAGGAGGTGGTGGTGGTGGTTGCTGATGTTGCTGCTGAGGTGTGAAGTGTTGATTCCCTGAAAAGACAGGTTGTTGGTTGTTTGTAGGTCCCATGTTTGGAAAACTCGCCGCTGTTGCTGATGGCGGCTGAGATGGGATTTGTTGTGCACGATTAGGACCAACAGGTCCACTATGCGGTCCATTTGGATGTTGTATCTGTTGTGAAATAACTTGACCGTGGGGTTGCTGTTGACTAGAGAATTGCGCGTTGGAGCCAAGCTGTGGATTGCTTTGCTGCTGAGAACGCAAGTTGGATGGTTGTGTTGGACCCTGCACTTGGGCTTGGGCTTGCGCCTGGGCCCGTGCTCGAGCTTGTGCCTGTGCTTGTGCTTGTGCCTGTGCCTGTGCCTGTGCCTGTGCCTGTGCCTGTGCCTGAAATTGCGCTTGTGCCTGCATTTGCGCGTGATTTTGTGCCTGAGCATGCGCCTGGGACTCTGTCTGAGGTTGGGAAGGTGGGATAGACCCTTGTTGAAGCGGCGCCGGCTGTACTTGCTGTCCATGTTGTGCTTGTTGTGCTTGTTGTGCTTGTTGTGCTTGTTGTGCTTGCAACGCTTGCATTGCTTGCAACGCTTGCTGTTGCTGGAAATTGGNGACATTGATGCAGGGACAGCCATTGCCAACTCTTGTTGTTGTTGTCTTTGTTTCAACAATTGTAATTGATAATACCTCAATGCCAAGTTTGATTTGCTGTTTTGGTCCTGAGTTAATCCGCCAGAGCTGTTGAAGCCACCTCCATTTTTTGCTTGAAATATATCCCAAAAAATCTGCCACCATTCAAACAAAAAACTTTGGGGAGAATCCATAGCCAAGTTCATCTTTGGTAAGTCATGATCCTTGTAGAATTTTAACTGCAGTGGCGATTGCAGTGGCTGTCTCTGGAAAGGGGTTGTTGAGGAGTCTGCTCCTGGAGTTGGCTGTTGCAGCTGCTGTTGTTGTTGGTGGTGGTGGTGGTGAGATTGAGAGCCCGGTGGTGAAGCCACTGATGGAACTTCAGCTTCATTGACAAATATTTTTGCAGTTTGCGGTAATTTACTCTTGACTAAAAAGTCATAGATGTAAGCATTTAGTAACTGGTTGGCGTTTTTGGCATACGAATCTGAGATACTAATAGACGATGAAGCTTGATTCGATGGCCTGTTTAGGGGAGTGCTTCGGCTGTTTGTGCTCATGGCATTTTGTTTGCCATTTGAATTGTTCATTATTCTCTAATCTTTTGAAGCACAATGCACGATAGTGTGGTGGACGTGATAGTACGAGGGGACGCAATATAATGGAGTGAAGTCTAGGTCGAATATGTGTGGATTGCCAAATACAAAGGATGTCGATATGGGTGATATTGTTGATGCAGTGTGTGAAAGCGTATTTGTTGGTCCTTCCTGACGTGTGTGTAAATGTTATATGTCTGTGTATTAATATGGTTTAGAATACAGTTGATAAGTGGTTATCGCTATGTTTGTGTAGATATGAGATGATTGAATGTGAATGGTTTATGGTGGTTGAGTCTTTCGTTTATTTTTTTTATTTTATTTTTTTTTCGTCTCTTTCTGTCTGTCTGTCTCTCCCTGTCTCTTTACTGACAAAAAGAGTATACAACATACAATCACACACACACACACACATCTCGACAGAGTTGACATTTGGGTTGGATACTGTGTTACAGGCATATATCCACTTTTGAACTTGTAGAGATAAAGGTAGAGATAAAGGTAGAGATGTATTCAACTGTGAGATATAAAGAGTACTGGATTAAACAAGAAATGTCCTGAAGCAAAGTAAAAACAAAAAAAAAAGGGTTTTTTCCCAATCTTCACTGTGTGGTAAATCATCAGACAGATTATGTACTGGGAAAGAAATATGGCGCAGCAAAAGCCATGTAATAGCTCCAAGTGTCAGTACTAATAGACAACTATGAATAGCAGTAATAGTAGTAGTTATGTTACTACTGTGGTTAAACTTTTGTTCACATTTTCCCCCTTCCTTCCTTATCTTTCTTTTTCTTTTCCTTTTCCTTTTTCTTTTTCTTTTTAGTGTACTGTGTACTGTGTATTGTGTACTGTGTAGTAGTTACTGTGGTGTGTATCATTTGACACATATTATTTTATTTTTTTCCCCTCTCTTCTTCTTCTTGTTCTTCTTGTCATTTCTTTTTTTGAATGTCGTAACTTTTAATACTGTGACACATACACACACACTACATACATATATATATATGTACATCTATTATCATCATAGTTACATTTATCCTTTACATTAGACTTACATGACTATTTCAAACTTGTTAACCGTACCCCCCCCCCTCCCCCACCCTCTCCACACGCAGAGATGTCATCAATTGTATATCTCTTCAACAAATCTCTTTTCACCCCCAAACCAACTTAACTTTGAAATATCTTGCCACAAACGTCAACAACAACAAGATTGGTACTTCCAACAATGGCCCATACACAGCTGCAATTGCTTGCTTACTACTCTCGCCATACAAAGCTATGGCTATTGCTAAGCTTAGCTCAAAGTTATTGGAACTTGAAGTGAATGCTTGAGTCACGGTTGATTCATAATTGGCATTGCACTGCAACTTGCCCTTTTTATGTAGCTCAAGTTGTTCTGGCGACAACTTTTCTTCACATCCACACTTGACAAGAAGTTTGGCACATTCCCCATCACCATCTTCATCAATGTTAGCCACTGTTTCTTTCGTGTTTGTTGTCATTTCAACCGTTGTCTTTTCATGTTCCAATACTATTCTGTTGTAATTGATATAATTTGAATAATATCTAAACCCAAAAAATGTGCCAAACCACATTATTATAAAATAAAGACACAATGGAATAAAACACTTGAGACTACCACTAAGCTCATGTAGAAACGAGTCACCTTTCGATATGAATATGACAATGATGGTATACAATAGCCCAATCAAAGCCCACGGACTAATCCACGGTAAAACAAGAGTATTAAACTTTTCTTTGCCAATTGTGCACAATGCCAATGATCGAATGGCAATACCCGATACCAAGGGAATACCTAAAAATATCCCAATATTCTTAAGCACCAACACAAACAAGTTACCCATGTGCAAATCATTGGCAAAGTCGATTGATTCGCCAGTAATCGCATAGCAAAACAAGATTTGGTATGGCGCATACAACACAATTTGTAATACACTATTGATTATGACCAAGATTGCACAAAGTTCATTCGATCCCATAGCCAACTGATTCCAAATCAAAACCATTGCAATGCACCTGGCCATCCCAATCATAATTATCCCAGTACGATACTCCTTATCATTAAACAAAGTAGCCCATGCCAATCCAAACATAAGGAAAGGCCCCACTACCCAATTTAGAAACAAGGATACAGCTACTTCACGCCAATGCTGAGATATGTATCCCCATTTCTCCCTCTTGCTTGCCTTTTTTGTAGTGACTTGCTCGTATTCAATCTTGCATAAAGGTGGAATCATCATGATTATTAAACCAATAGTTAATGGTATGGAAACTGATGTCAATTTGTTGTCTGAGGTATTGTTGAATATCTCTTGTGCTCCCGGTGCATACACCGATATGATAATACCAATGACTATGGATAAAATGATTAATATGGGAAGTAGCTTGTCCAAAAGAGACATTTCTTTCAACACTAGCGTGAGATCACGCTTGACAGATGTAGCAACAGTCATAACTCTAAAGCGTTTTGCGGAGCTACTGGTTTAGAAAAAATAAAAAAAACCCTCTAATATGTATCGCTGTTTAATCTGATGAATTATCAAGCTGATAGTGTCGTTTGTGTGTAGATATCAACGGACTTGGCTCTAGCACAATCTCTAATCGCGATGACCAAACTGGATCCTAGATTATTCTCCAACTCTTTAGTGCCAAAATAGTGCAAACGAGTCCACTCCTTCAAGTAATATAAACCACGTAAAACTGTTCAAACGGTTCTCTGAAAGTTGTGTAGCACACAAAATGTATCAGTGCAGCCTTCTCAATTCCTTCAAAGTGTAAGGATGTGCAAAACTTTTTGATGCATTGGTAGCGAGAGTCAACTCCAAAATTTTGTTGTGTGCTAACAATGGCACTAGACTACTTGCCATTATTAAACACTCACAAAACACACGCTCTTTTCCCCTGAGATGAATTCATCATTCCTGTCACTGAATGGATCGTCCAGTACCTACACTATCGATGAAATACCCACATTGATATACGCACCAGACCGGCCGAACACTAGCCACCTGGCATACTCCACAACAACCTCAGCCTCCACAACAACAACAACAACAACAGCAGCAACAGCAAGAGCATTACCATCGTCGTCGACCACGTCACCTACATACGAAGAAAACACATACATCAATTGGAGTCAAGAGACTCAACGTATACTGAATCTACCTTCAAGCTTGTCAAAGAAATGGACCACGCTTGTCCTACTGGCTATAATATTGGGCTATATCGCAGCTATAATCAATTTGATTTCCATCTCATTAAATGACTTGAAAAAGGGGATATGTTTGAGCAACTTGGACGCATGGAGTATATTCAACCCGTACCTGACGTGTCCTGCTAATGAATGGTACAACTGGTCGAGACTCTTGACTGGGTCAACTGCCGTATGGAGTAGGATCTTGATCAACTTCCCAATATATCTCATTTTCGCTGTGCTTTTCGCCATGGGAGCTAGCTACCTTACAATCAATCGGGAGCACCTCATTCGCCAATCAGGCATACCGGAAATAAAATTGCTCATATCCGGTTTCAATTTAAACGTTGGGAAATATTTGGGTCTACATACATTGTTATTCAAGATTGTCGGTTTGATCCTAGTCGTGAGTTCGGGGTTGTGGTTGGGCAAAGAAGGGCCCTTGGTGCATGTGTCTTGTTGTATATTCAACATTATTTACGAACTTATTATTCAGGGTAAGTTTGGCACTGGTGGTGGCACAAAACCTAATGAAGCAGTACGACGAGAGATATTGAGTGCAGCTACAGCAACTGGAATATCTGTCGCCTTCAACTCGCCAATTGGTGGAGTGTTGTTTGTGTTGGAAAGCATGCCAAGTTACTTTAGTCCCACTAAAATCATGTGGAATTCATTTGTCGCTGCCACAATTGCAATTATTGGGTTGACTGGCTTCAGTGCGTTTACCGATGGCAACAACTTTTTGGAACAGGATTTGTTTCAAGTCAATTTTGGTAATTTCAGTTGGTTGTTCTTGGAGGTGATTCCATTCATCGCTTTGGGAGTTGTTGGTGGATTGTATGGGTACTATTTCACCAAACTCAATCAAATTTTTCAACAACGCACATTGCGGAAAAAGGTTCAGTCGTTATTAGTGCATGCTGCAAAAGTTGATCCCAAATGGGGTCCCTTTTTGGAAGTTTTGGCTATTGTTGTTCTCACCACATTGCTCAATTTCCCCTTGGAGATTTCAAAGTTACCATTGAGTTCCTACTTGATATTGTTATTTAAACAATGTCTGAAAGATGCAAGCGATGGCGAAGCCAATGCCGAAGACTTTCTTTGTCTGTCGTCAAATGGGGTGACGGTGTTGAAGTTGCTTTATATCTTAGTTCAGGGCTTTGGTCTCACTGCATATACATTTGGTATCGACTTACCTGGAGGTGTCTTGATGCCGTCATTGGTATTGGGAGCCACCACAGGAAGACTTTTGGGAATAGTGACTCAAGTCTTGCAATCTCGTTTCAATTGGGAATCATTGAGTACATGTACTGAAAAATCATGTGTTGTTTCTCCATCTTCGTATGCGGTTATTGGTGCTGCTGCATTCATGACTGGTATTACCAAGTTGACCATGTGCGTCGTCGTTATCATGTTTGAAATGACGGGCGCCGTGTCTTATGTTTTGCCTATAATGTGTGGTGTCGTTACTTCTAAGTTTGTTAATGATTGGTTAACACCATCGAATATTTACGATACTTGGTTGCAAAATAATTTCAATCGACGTGGGCAGGGATTTTTTTCAACAGACGGCTCAGCCACCGGGATGATCAATGAAGGTAAAGGCACGGGAATTGTGTCGTTTTCAAACTTGACGTCGACAATAAAATCAAAACTCCCCGATGTCACGGTACAAGCATTGATGGTGCCCTTGGAACAAGTCAAGTGTTTATGTTTGGTTAACGAACATAGTCCTTATACTGCAGAGTCATTGTGGGATTTTGTCAATGATGACACACATGAAGGATACCCTATAATCATCAACTATTCCAACCCCGTATATATTGGCTACGTCACCAAGTTGGAACTTGTCAGCAAATTACAAACCGTCAATCGTGAAGATTCGTCCGAACCGATATCGTTCCAAATTGCCAATCTCCCTCGAACTGCATTATCTATGCAACTACACTACGAACGCAAGAACAACAATTGCATTCACCTCAATTTGTCAATTGAAGCATCACCATTCTACACAAATGAACAATCACCAGCGATTTTAATCTTGGAAGAGTTTGAGAAATTGTATTTGAACCATCTTGTCATCTTGAGTACCAACAACGTGGACAATCAAATCATGGCGGGGTTTATTGATCGATTCATTTTGGCAAATGCCATAAATGACAAGTTTGGAAAATTGGTGAATGAATTGGCCGATTTTGAAGCAATTAACGAGTATGACTTGGAGACTGCTGTGGGCGATGATGAGGTTGAGATGATGGATTTACGATATAATAGAAAGAGTATAGAGTTGATCACGTGAATGGATGCAAACACTTTTTAGCTGGATAGGGATCAGACAAACTAAACTCGGAGTTACTTTTTGTAGTCAGTTCCATGCATATGGCTTTGGAGTAATTGTGACGTGCAAAAAATTGGGACTCTGAGCTGTCTTTGTGAATCACCTCAAGTTAGAAATCTCTTCACTCTCAACATACTACACAAATCATTCTAGCCTATCACGTGCACTGAAATTTAGTGGCTAATTTGTAAGAATAATGTACAAAGCGTGCTAGTGTGGCCTTGATGTATATCACGGAGACAGTAACAGCTTTGTATGTCCTTAATGCTGCCCGGTTTTTAACGATTTTGATGTTGTGCTCTCGTTTACTTTCTCACCGAATTGAGGCAAATTTTGAAAACAAAATTCACAGTATACTATACAACATTGATACACCAGCCACCTCAAATCAGCAAATTAGCTACATTTTGAATAATCTACCAAGCACCTTTTACAGAATAACCCTTTACCTACTTGCACAGTATCATATCGGATATAAGTGCTGTCATTTTCTCGGTTGATCGAGATCATGTGTGTTATCCTGGAAGGTAATGTCAAGTTTATGACCTCCAGTAACGAAGGTTGTATACTCTCTAGGAACTTCTTAGACAACTATGATAGTTAATAATTTAAGAGGTATGATTGATATTTA